CTTAACAATGAGGTTAGCAAAGGTTTAAACAAGGTAGGATTTTGGGGTCCTAACACCTTTCTCCTTTCCCGTGCTTGCATATCATCCTTCCTCTCATAGTTTCTTCCACCTTGGCTCTTAACCACATATCTAGTGCTTATACATTCTATGTAGCCAACCCTATATATCTCAAAGTACATCACTATAAATAAATCACATTCTACTAGTTTACTAGTGCCAATTCTAGGAAGTTGCTATATCACTATTATTGACATATCACTCCACCACCTCTCTCCCTTTAATTGAAGATTTCTAGTCACCTCTTTGAAGGTAGATTTGGAGTATCAATAGATAGATTTATAGGGTGTTTGGTTTGAGGAATCACTCTATACTAGGTGAGGTAGTGCATTTGAGTCGATTCTTCAGATTTTTCATTCTCCACACTAGTATTAATTATTGACTTACGAGAAATGAGGTGATGATGCATCATCCTATTCCATTTCACAAACCAAACAAATTAAAGTGAGGAATGAGTAGATGATGGACTAAGTCATTCTTTAAAGGCCAATTGCATTTCTGCCCTTGTTTTGAGCTCTAACTACATGTTTGCCCCTATTTTTTTAACTTTGCAGATTTGCCCCTATTGTTTCAATCTGAAGCTTCCACTTGCCCCTGTTCCGTGAAGGAGAGTTAACGGTGTTAAGTACATGCTGAAAAGATAGAAATACCCTTGACATAAATGACCCAAGAATCAATCTGATTTTTATGTACAAACTTATTGTCCATTTATTTTGGACAAATGACAATACATATTTTGTATAAATATCAAAGTTCAATATTTTGCAAGCATGAATGAAGATAGATCCAGATAATATATAAGCATAATATTTGCATCAAAATGCAAGAGTTGACAGGAACCACATCAAGTTTCTCATGTCCCGATCACAATTAAGCACACCAAAATAAAGGCACCACATGCCAAGATCATGTCCACATCATACATGGCCTAGCACATACACAACAATCACCCAGTAGTTATTACATATCCCAAGCAGTGGTCATTTCTACACATTGAGCAATGCAGTAAGCCTTGAAGCACCTCTTCCTCCTCCTCTTCCTCTTCCTCTTCCTCTGCCTCTACCCCTCCCTCTCACAGTTGGTGGTCTTCCTCCTCTAACATTAGTGGAACCATCACTTCAAAACAATGTAGTCAAAATGCATCAGTAAATATCTACTATGGGATGTGGCATAAACCTGTTCAAAGTATAAGAAACTAGAAAAGAGTACACATGGATGACATACTTGGATGACTCTGTAGTTGATGACCGTCTACTTGTACCCACCTCTGATGCATTCTCAGATGATGGAAACATCCTTTTTCTGCCTAGCAGTTAGTCCCCCCTTGGCACTTCTTTGTTGTATGGCCTAGTTCATGGCATTTAGGACACCTCTTTCTTTTCCTAGCACCAGGTTCATCTGATGCCTTAATCCTAGTTTTCTTTGGCCTGCTAGGCTTTCTTCTCAACTTAGGCTTTTTTATTTTGTATCCAAGATCAACACGTTGCCAAAAATGCTTTGATATCATTGGATTGAACATGCCTGAATATGTTTTTCTTAGCTTGTCAACAGAGAAATAATCATGGACAAAGTCATCTATTCGCACCTCTCTACAAAGTGTTGCTATGAATGCTAAAGCATGTTTACATGGCTTCCACTCACTTGCCACAACCTACAGCTACATGTCTTGAGCTCCAAATTAACTGCATACCTGAAAGCTGCTCCTGATGATGTAGGTGTAGTAACTTTAGCTATGTTATTGGCACATCTTAAAACCTCATGGTCCTTGATAGATTTGCTTTAAGCCGTAAGAGCCTTTGTTATATCAGGGATTATGCTGCCCTCTATTGACATAGCAATTTTTCTCCTCGCTTCAAATTTGGATATGATCATCTGCCTTATCATATCATGCATCTTCAGAATCTGCAAGTCTTTAACTTTTCTCACATAGTTGTTGAAAGATTCAGAGAGGTTATTATTGATGTAGTCTACCTTGCATTGATCAGAGAATTTGCTTCTACTCCACAAGTATGGATGATTATCATCTAAGTATGCAATTTCTTGAGGGCACTTCTCCTATATTTTTCCCATGTGCCAATTGAACTTCTCAATAGTGCAAGCCTTGGCTGCCGGGCACATGTTATAATTGAACAAATCACTTGAGTAATGCTTCTTGAAATTCTTCCACAGATGCCTCATACATTCTCTATGTTCCACATCTGGATACACATCTTGCACAGCCTTACCAAGACCTTTGCCTGCTGTGTGCTGATATCCAAACATGTAGGTGTACCAATAGCAACCTTCAAGTTCTGGATGAACCATGTCCAGCTTTCTATGAACTCAGTTTCAATTACACCATAGGAAAACGGAAAAAGGCAATTATTTCCATCGACAGCAACAACACCTGCTAACTGACCCCTTGACCTTCCTGTCATGTGGGTAGCATCTATAGCAATGTAGGGCCTACATCCTTGCAAAAAACCATCAATGCATGGTTTGAGGGCTAGAAAGAATCTCCTAAAACAAACATTCCCATGATGATTTTTCATATCTAGCTCAACAATGCTTCCTAGAACTGATTTGAGTAGCTCTGCTCTATATGTTGGCAGTAAGTCATAACTGTCATCTCACTTACCAAATATCATGTCAAGAGCCTTTTCCTTACCCCTAAATACCTTGTCGTAAGGAATTTCCAGTGCATACTTCTTCTCCAGCCTATAACTCCATAGGTCCCAAGGTTGAGTCCTCCATCAAGAATTCAAACACCCTTTCAGCCACCCAATTACTTGTTGCCGTTGTGTGACCATAGCTGTTGACTAAACTGCATGTGTGAGTGGGCCTGTTTGTCTTAACCTGCTAGGGAAACAAGCCGTGAATGAAGATGACAGTCTAAAAAATCAAAATTTATGGAACAGCCCAATAAAAGAAAGGAACTGCTATACCTTGCATCCAATAAATTTCTTACTGGTAGATGCATAAAATGTCCACTCGCAGCCTTTATCATCTCTCAAGCACTTGGCTCGAAATCGCTTGTTATCTTTCTTCATTGTATGAAAAACATAATCATTTAAGATTGCACGTTGGGTCAACGCCGATTTGCACTGATTCACATCAGGAAACACATAACCAATATCAACACATGGAGCATCGACATCATAAGAACAGATAGGAATATCATCATTGTCATCTTCATCAATTATTTCATGATCAGGTTCATACTCAAGGTTAGAGCAGTCAGAGTCAGAAGATACATCCAAGTCCAAGTCAGAAGATGCAGCCAATTCAGAGTCATAGCTACTATCACTTAGTGCAGCTATAGATTTAGTGTCAGAGTGTTTGCATTCTTTCCCATCATCTATGACTTTCCTGTGCACCTTCTTGTCTTCTTTGACAGGCTCTTTTTGTAGGCTGAGTAGGGCTGTGTTGGATCTATGAAAGGATCCAAATCAATAGGTGCAGTACTCGGAGTAAGAGTTGGAAAGTCTCGAACAGTAGGGTGAAACCTACATTTTGGTCAGTGAGAACTGCAATGGACCATCGAAGTCATTGATTTGACCAACAATATGGACTTCCCCATTCTCTTTGCTGAGCTCAAACCCCGCCACAAAGAAATGTATTGCTTCGAACCCCATAAAAAGCTTTCACCAATGAAATCTACTAGCTGCAGCAAGCTTTAGTGCTGACTGTCAACAATCGTAGTCAAGGTTTCCCTCCTATATGTCTTTCGACCCGGATCCTGCAAGCTCCAATGTGTCCAAACCATAACAAGAAGTTTATGTGGTTGTCATTTATTCTGCAAACCACAACATTTTGATAAGCTAGCTCATCCTACAGACCTAAGCGAAACCACCATTTGCCTACTGCATAAAGGACGAAGTCCAAGAAATTTACCTAGGCTGTTCCATGTCGCAACAAGTGCAAGTCATGGTCTTTGCGTGCCTTCCCATCCATCCACCGCTTCTTCGGCTAGTTCATTGAGCTGCGTACCGCCCGCTTAGGGCATCATCAACAGAGACCCACACGCCGGCCGCCTGCTGCTTACTTAAATTGCGTGCTACCTAAGCCCGCCCACCACGGTGGTCACATGTAGGCCGCGCCGGCCGCCCGCCGCCCAGGCACACCTGCCCCGCCGCACACTCCGACTGGCCGCCCGCACGAGACCGCCCACACGCACGCGTCGGACGCCCGCCCGCCACCCAGGCCCGCCAGCTGCCGAATCTGGCGCTGCGCCAGTCGCCTGCCACGCACGCAGCACGTTGACCCGCTACCACCACGCATCCCAGGTCGAAGCGCCCGCCGCCTCCCTCGATGTTTTTTCCCGATTCGAAGAGGGTCGGGTGAATGAGAGAACAGGCTGTGTTTTGGATAAGGGCAACATAGTCTTTTTTCATTTTTTCTTTTTTCCAAACATTTTTTCTTGGCCATGATTTTTCAGCAACTCACGCAGTTCAGAAGCAGCTTAGGTTTCGAAAAACAAGGACAAACATGCAAAGTTTAAAAAATAGGGGCAAACGTACACTTAGAGCTTAAAGCAAGGGCAGTTATGCAATTGTCCTTCTTTAAAACAAACACCCCATGGAGATTAATGTAACTACTCTTTTCCAACTATTCTTAATATAGGGCTAACTTTTTTAAACGTTATTAAAAACTATTGATGATATATCCGCTATATTTCTGTCAAAATAACAAATTCCGTTTCTACCCCTCCAAAGTCTAATGGCGCAAAAAAGAAAAAGGAAAAAAAATATCCCCATCCTCTCGTCTTCCCTTTCTCTCTCCTCCGAAGTCCCCTTTCTCTCTCTCCTCACTACCCCAAAGCAGCAGCAACAGGCCAGCAGCCGCTGCAGCAAGCTCGAAGCAGCAGTCAGCGAGAGCCAATTCCCCGAATCGCCCCTCCCAAATGCGAGTCCTCGCCTGAGGAAGCCCCTCCTGACCACTTCGTGGTCCCCGCCGCGGCCATCATGCCGCCGCCGGCAGTGGAGACGCCGGAGTGGCTGCGCAACCTGCCCGTGGCACCGGAGTTCCGCCCCACCGCAGCCGAGTTCGCGGACCCCATCGCCTATATCCTCAAGATCGAGGCTGAGGCCTCCCGCTACGGCATCTGCAAGATCGTACCTCCGCTCGCGCCGCCGCCGCGGGAGGCCACGGTCGAGCGCCTCAGGGCCTCCTTCGCTGCCAATGCGGCCTCCACCGCCGCCGGCGACGTCGCGGCCCCTGCACCCACCTTCCCGACGCGGCTCCAACAGGTGGGCTTCTCCGCCAAGAATCGCCGCCCCGCGAGCCGCCGCGTCTGGGAGAGCGGCGAGCGGTACACGCTGGAGGCCTTCCGCGCCAAGGCCCGCGACATCGAGATTCCGAGGTACGCGGTGCCGCCCAAACACGCGACGCAGCTCCAGCTGGAGGCGCTCTTCTGGGGCGCCTGCGCCGGGAAGCCGTTCAACGTTGAGTACGGCAACGACATGCCGGGCTCCGGCTTTGCGGTGCCGGAGGAGCTGAACGTCGACCTGGAGGGCGCCGGAGGCAATGCGGCGCTTGCGGCGAGGGACGTCGGGGAGACGGAGTGGAACATGCGGTTGGCCCCTCGCGCGCGGGGCTCGCTGCTGCAGGCGATGGGCCGGGACGTGGCCGGCGTGACGACGCCGATGCTGTATGTTGCGATGCTGTACAGCTGGTTCGCGTGGCACGTGGAGGACCACGAGCTGCACAGCCTCAACTACCTCCACTTCGGCAAGTCCAAGACCTGGTACGGCGTACCACGCGATGCCATGCTCGCCTTCGAGGACGCCGTCCGCGTGCACGGCTACGCCGACGACCTCAACGCCATCAGTGCGTGTGCCATCCCACTTTTTGCCCCTTCTACTATGCTCTGCTTTGGTTCCTTGGATTGATGTGCAGCATTTAGTCTTTTCTGCTTTCTTCTTTACTGGTAAAGTCAAAACTTTTTCTCCATGTGCCGTTGTCTATATGCCACTGTGCCAAAACAGGTTTCTTCATCAAAAGGGAAAAAACTGAAATGTTGTCAGCAACTCCAAATGGGCCATTTTACATTTAGAGTACCATGTAAATTAAGCAGAAATCAATGCCATTTGATAATGCAAGTTTATGACTTTAATGGACTTTAAGGAAGAGAATGAACCAATCAGCTATCATTTTGGGTACAAGAGGTTCTGATTGGACTATTGATTGAACTTGAACACTGATTTGAGCTGTAGCAAATTTGATCAGCATATGACAGGGTACTTCCTGTCTTCCTCACCAGGCAGCGAAGACTTAAGGGTACGGGGTGGGGTGGGGTGGGCTTTCACAAGAGAAGTAAAGTCAATTTTTTTCTTACTAACCTCTACTTCAGAATGACATGACTGAATCATATGTCAAAGCATACTGCCTCTACAAAGATGTGCGCATCATTGTGGATATGTGGGTCTTGTTTCTCCCTGCACTTTTTTTGTTTCTTGCTTGGATGTTTTTTTTATGGAGTTGATACCAGGATGATATGGCTAGGAATCTGGGCACTCTATTGATGAACTGGAAGGTGATTACAATGGCTGGATTAACTGGAGTAGCAGCAATAGAGGAGACCGCCCTCCTGGGAGGCTCTGATGGCTTACTCTACTTCTGCTTGATCCTAATTCCCAGCTGCACTAGTGGTTATAACACCCACATGAGCGGCTGGCTAACTCTACTTCTGCTTGATCCTAATTCCCAGCTGCACTAGTGGTTATAACACCCACATGAGCGGCTGAGGACACTCCCTCTTATTACTCCCATCCTATTCTTAGCTAGCTAATCGCTGAGCCAAGTCCAATCAATTGACCTGATTCTAGCCACTAGAGCCAGCCGCATCCTTCTTCTTCTTCCTATTATACTGCTGCCCAACATCTTCATAACTGGTCTTGGTTTTTTGGGTTTTCTAAATGATGAGCAAAGTGGAAACTTTTTCTGTAGAGCAACAGCATTGTGTCAAAAAGAAAGGAAAGCTAGTTTGTCAGGAGCTCCAAATGAGCATTCTGGCATTATAGTGGCATATAAACCAAGCAGAAATTAGTACTATTTTTTAGCACAAAACCTATTGCCGAAGAAAACTTATGTACTTTGTTTTTCCTCTTTGTTGGGCAAAGGTAAAAGTCAGACTTGTTCTTCAGGGTACCTTATGTGGGTGCCAAAATAGCGATGTGCCAAAGGAAAAAATGTATTAGTTAAAAAGTGATGCCAGATAACTTGGCATATCATGCTGAAGTTCCTGAACTTAGTTTCTGTGTTGTTTACTTACCTAAACATCTACTCCCTCTAGTCACAAATACTTGACACATTTGACTTTTCATAGTCTTCGATGTGTATCTTGGACCACTAATTTCTTCTAGAAAATATTCATAAAATCCTTCAAATATAAGAGTTTGCAAATATTTTGACTTTTGAGTACAAATCGACATATATAACCTACACACTTCCAAACTAAATAATGTAATAGTTATTGATGTTTGTAGTTTTTAAGTTCGACCAAATCTTGTCCTAAACAACTTTTTGTGATTAGAGGGAGTAACTGGTTTTGGTGGATAGGAGTTTGGGGCTTTGGGCAGCAGCAGTTGCACAGCAGCTGCACTTACTGAAATGCAAGGTTGTAGCAGCAGATTAGAATGTGTACCTTTTTTTTTGTGATTACTCAGACTCTTAGAACGCACGCACACTCACCCCTATGAACACATGCATGCAAACCCTACCCCTATGAGTCTCACCCCTATGAACGCACGCATGCAAACCCTACCCCTATGAGCATCTTTGAAGACTGGGCCGGCAAATCAAGATTCAACGGGAACAGACTAGGAGAGGCAGGGGTCAACTGAACCTGACATGCTGTTTTGGAAAACTGATGGAAGATAAATTATTTATTAGGGGTGTTTGATAGTAACTAGTCTTAGTCTTACTCTTTAAAGTATGAATGCTTCAGTTTTCTTCACTCTAAAGAGAAAAGCTTGCTGATGGATTGCTTATCTGGTGCAGTGGCCTTTCAAATACTAAATGAAAAGACAACTGTCTTGTCTCCTGAAGTGCTTCTTTCTGCTGGAGTTCCTTGCTGCAGGTGTTACTGCATTTCTTAACATTATTTTTGTGGCATTTTTCTTGGCCATTATTTTGAGTATTGGGTATAATGATTGATAGATACTTCTCCAAAGCAGATTGGTTCAAAACCCTGGTGAATTTGTTATCACATTCCCTGGAGCTTATCATTCTGGTTTTAGCCATGGTAAGCCATCTAACACATCCATATTCGTATAGTGCACTTATTGGGTTAGCACAATGTTCCTTGAACCACTGTCAAAAAAAAGTTCCTTGAACTAGCTATCTGGTTGCTCCTGTATGCTAAGTGTGGTCCAGTCCTTTCACTGACTAGTGTTTATAAGGACTATAATTTTCAGTTAACATATTAAGTGAAATGCTAACCTTGCAATTCCATATTTATGATACAGTGTTCATGTTCATGCATATTTTCTTATACTTGTAGCGGAAAATAGTACTTTCAATATCTTGCTGAAGTCACTCACAGTTGCACATGGAACATCTCTGAATGCAACAATTAATTTTATTTCACTATCCATGTTTCATAGGATTTAATTGTGGAGAAGCAACAAACATTGCTACACCTTGCTGGTTGCAAGTGGCTAAAGAAGCTGCAATCAGGAGGGCTTCCACAAATTCGGGCCCAATGGTGTCTCATTATCAGCTGCTTTATCAGCTAGCACTGTCATTACATCTAAGGTTTGCCTGCAGTAAATATGATCTCAATTGTTGTTGTTATAGAACTTTTCAATTGTCTATGAATATTGGAGAGGATGCCATCCAAATTATATGATCTCAGATTTCTTTTCTTGAATACACATGAGATGCGTATCCTTGCATTAAGGAGATAAATAAATGACAACCCACCCACCACTCTCTCTCTCACACACACACACACTCTCGGGATGTATTCATTGTAATATTATCTATTTATGAACTAGAAAGGTCAGTTACATCACAACATCTAAAAAATGGATATCAAATAGCAGTTCTGTTTGTGTAATTGTCTGGGTTATCATGTCACTGGAGATTGAATCTAGACGATATTTTCCTTTTATAGGGAGCCTAAGAATTCTCATATGCCTAGAAGCTCTCGTCTAAGGGACAAGAAGAAGAACGAAGGTGAAAGAATGATCAAAGAAACATTTGTTGGAAGTGTGATAGAAAACAACAGTTTTCTGAGCATCCTTCTTGACAAGAGTTCTTGTGTAATTATCCCGGAGATTGAATTTCACCTTCCATTGAGGGCACCTGAAGTCACTGATAAGCAAGGCTTGATTGCTGGTCCCTGTAGTATTAGCCAGAAAAAAGCTGAGGAAACACTTGTTTATGGCGATGAAATAGATGAAATCAAAGAGGTTGAGAACATGAGTGAATCAACAACTTCCTCTGCATGTAACCAAAGAAAGTTCTATGAAACAAAATTTGGAACAGTTAATAGTACTGCATTCTGCTTATCAACTTCTGATATTAAGACTGGAGTAATTGGAAAAGGTAGATCACATCAACGAGGTGGGCTCTTAGATCAAGGGCAGTTGCCATGTGTTCAGTGTGGCATATTAAGCTATGCATGTGTAGCCATCATTCAACCTAAAGAGGCAGCAGTCCAGTATGTCATTTCTAGGGAGTGCATGTCATCAAGTGCAATACACAGAGAAATAATGGAATCAGATGATACCTCAAATCGGATGGCGATAGCTCGTCAACAAGGTTAGCAAGACATGGATCCACTTGCACTATTAATGGCCGGTCCTCAAGATTTTCCTTTTACTTGATATCATTATCTAGCCTCCACCATTTCACATATTGGTTTTAAATAGTGACAGTGAATAATATTTCTCTTTGATCCGGTATATGTCATTCTAATATTAGTCCTCTTTTATGCTTCTGGTCAAATGGTCGGTAAAAGCAGAAATTTCATAAATCTACAGCTATGCCATGCACTTGTGCATCATAAAAGGTGATCGGTCTTCCAATTTTTCTTGTTAGTAACCCTTCCAGTCGCAACTCAGAATTTAGTCAATTTTGACATTGAAGCTGCTGATAAAACATACCTTTTATATGGATGAACCTACCAGATAATAATTCATAACCTCAATAAACAGTGTATTGTTTAAGTACTTTCTGACATACCTCATAATTGACAATCGAAATGTCCATAAAATATTGATGGCCAAAGTTTCAATTGTTTGTCTGAATCATATTTCTGTTGCACCTAATTTTAACAAGGATTTTCTTTTGAAATGAACTCTAGAGTGAATGTTTTAGTGAGCTATATTACTTGTTTTGAAGGGCGGGCCTGGTGCAAGCGGTAGAGTCTTACCGCCTGTGACCGGAAGGTCCCGGGTTCGAGTCGCGGTCTCCTCGCATTGCACAGGCGAGGGTAAGGCTTGCCACTGACACCCTTCCCCAGACCCCGCACAGAGCGGGAGCTCTCTGCACTGGGTACGCCCTTTATATTACTTGTTTCTGAATTATTTATCTTTTTAGTTAGTTTAATTCAGTTGACATCACTTTCCTCTGTGATGCTCAAGACTCAGTATATTTCTATTTTGTTTCTGTTGATGTCTTCACGCCTTCGTGATTGAACGATATCAAAGTGTCATTGATTGTAATACTAGATTTTTTATTGTAATGAAATTATTCTTCCAGTGCATAGTTTGGAGGCCATCATGTAAATATATTGTCTTTTTTCAACAGGATATGCTCGTGAAACCGATGATAATACAAGACAAAATGTGAGTGCAGCCCAAGTTTCTGATAGGTGTAGGCAGCTATACAGCAGCAGCACCCATGGATGCACTTCCGCTCTTGGGCTTCTGGCTTCTGCGTATGAATCATCAGATTCTGATGAAGAAGCAGAAGCACCTAACAATATATCAAACAATTGTGAAAACAATGATGCGGCAAATGGAGTCACAAATATTCAGTCCTCAGGAACATCAGTTCAGGATCAAAATACGAATTTGCACTTGTATGAAGAGGAAAATGACTCCAGAGCAATAGCATCTCTGTTGCAACCAGTGGAGGATAAGAGTACTGCTATGACTCCTGTTAGTATGGAAACAAATATGATCCATCTAGCAGATCAGGGAGAGTCACTAACCTCCCATGAGCAGTGGCATGCGTATCTTGATTTTGATGATGATCTAACTGCATCAGGTGTAAAAGGCTCTCCGAATACTAGTTTGAGCACAGCTAAAGGTGCAATGGAAACAGATGCACTGACTTTGTTCAAGTACAGCAAGGATTCTTGCAGAATGCACGTGTTTTGTCTAGAACATGCTTTGGAAACTTGGACACGACTTGAACAAATTGGTGGGGCTAATATCATGCTTTTATGCAATCCAGGTAGTTGCACTTTCCCTAATATCCGCAAAATTCTTTTGGCATTGCTCCTTCGTATTTCCCTTTGTATCCTGTTTACTTCTTAGAATGATTAGTGGCAGTACGTTTTTAAATAAAAAACTCGACCAGGGGGAAGGATGTCCTCTGATTTTTGTCTAAACAAGTTTGTGCCAGCCTTCAAACCTGGACTGGTAATGGGGGTTTCATTGTACCCTGGATCTCTACGGTCTAACCAGTGTAACTCAGGAGGTGTTGGCATATTGCATTTTGATGATTATGACAATGACAGAGTCCTAATCCTGCAATCTTTTGCAACATGGAATTTTTTCATAGCTAATTCACAATGCATTTGCAGAATACCCTAGAGCAGAGTCAGCAGCAAAAGTTATAGCAGAAGAACTTGGTATGAAGCATGCTTGGAAAGATATCACTTTCAAAAAAGCAACACGTGAAGACACTGGAAGAATTCAATTGGCTCTTCAGGATGAAGATGCTGAACCTACAAGTAGTGACTGGGCAGTAAAAATGGGTATCAACATATATTACAGTGCCAAACAGAGCAAATCTCCACTTTACAAGCAAGCAGGTACCATACAATTCTATCATTTACAAGGCATTTGCTCAGGAAAATCCAGACAGCTTCACAGATGAAGGACAGCGATCAGGCACAACAAAGAAAAAGGTAGCTGGATGGTGGTGTGGCAAAAATTGGATGTCAAACCAAGTTCATCCACTTTTAGCTCGTGAACAGGTAGAACAGAATCATGAAACAGTTTACAGCAAAGCGATATTCTCTGCTAGTTCTTGTGACAGGATGCAAGAACAATCAACAAGATCTACTACCCTGATCAACCGAAATTCTTCAAAAAAGATATCCAGAAGAAAAGAGGGGGACTCTGTTGAGAAATCTAGAGGCAAAAAGAAGAGAAACAGTGCCAGTGCTTCTGATGAAGCTGCTTTGCACTACACAGTGTATGATCAGCCTGTAAATTTTGATAATCATGCCAAATATGAAGATGGAGATGAAAGTGAAAGTGTGGATGCACAGAACACCCAGCAACATCAACAACATGAATCACGAAATAAAAAATCAATTTCTATGAGGCGAAAGGATAATAATAGAAGCAACAGCTTTTATGAGCTTCACAAGGACAATGATGACATTGACTGCAGGTTTGATACAGATAGCACTGAAAACACCTCAATAGGTGACTGGGATAATAGTCCACCACAAGGGTGTGATGTAATAGCAGTGAAATCTAGTGCTCGATTGCAAGGTAGTAAGAGGTTTAGCAAGGAGAAGGCAAGTGATGGTTTGCCAAATGTAAACAAGAAATTGCTAAAGATGGGTAAGAAAATGAGTAGTAAGAAGCAAAAGAATGATAAAACAAATAGGCAGTTTCAAGAAAATCACAAAAAAGCTGACATAGTGGATTTGCTTCATGAAGATGATGGAGATGAAGCCACATACACAAAATGGAATGAAATTGCAAAACAAAAGACAGATGATGTGAGAGTAAAATCTAGAGGCAAAATGCAAAGTGGTAAGAAAAAAGTCAGCAAATGTCAGGCAAGTGATGGTTTGCACAATGGAGGTAAGGAAGCTAAATTTTCGAGTGACATAGAAGTGTGCAACAGAAGAGATGGGACAGCAGTAGACAACTGGGAAGAAATTCCAAAAGAAAAAACCGATGATATGAAAGTGAAACCCAAGATGCAAAGTGGTAAGAAAAAAGCCAGTAAACATCAGGCAAGTGATGGTTTGCGCGATGGAGACAAAGGAGCAAAATTTTCTTGTGATATAGAAGGGTGTGACATGAGCTTTAGCACCCAGCATGATTTGTCGCTGCACAAGAGAGACATTTGTCCTGTGAAAGGATGCAAGAAGAAGTTCTTCTGCCATAAATATTTGCTTCAGCACCGCAAAGTGCACCTGGATGAAAGACCGCTCATGTGTTCATTTCCAGGCTGCAAGAAGACATTCAAGTGGCCATGGGCGAGGACAGAGCACATGAGGGTGCATACAGGGGTGCGCCCATATGCATGCACAGAACCTGGCTGCACTCAGACATTCCGGTTTGTGTCGGACTTCAGCCGTCACAAGAGAAAGACTGGCCATTCGTGTGATAAGAAAAAGAAGAACTGTACATAGCTTTTAACTGCTTATGCACAAGTACAGGTTTCTTCTCTGATGGGGATTTGAAAGGGATGCTAATTGAATAATTGCATCATGTTTCATTGATTGCAGAATTAATCTGCATTAGGAGTCTAATTCATTTCATTGTTTACTGCTGCTACATAACCGCTGATTTACTGTCGCTTTAGGTCCAACTGACCTGCTGTTGACTGGGATTATTCCATGTCAATTGTATCGTTCTTTGGTTCATCCTGAGAAATTGGGAAATTTCTGTTGTCAGGAACGTTGAATTTAGTGTACTGCGCTTGTTATTAACATGCGTGTTAATCTGTGCTCAATTGCTCCTTTTTATTGTTAATACATTTTAAAATCAGACTAGGGATTTTTTTTTTGGATAAATGATGAGTATATTAGCAGCATGAAGCTGCAATGAGGGAGAAACACTCCCAGGGTACAGAGTTCAGAGCCTCCCTTAAGGGGCATCTTGTAACATGATTCTGATTTGTACATGAAAAGTGCGTGTCATGGGAAAGCGAAGATGAATGAAAAGCCTGTCCAGCTAGAACATGCGCTGTTGTGTTTAGCTTTCTTGGAGCCTTAAGACTTGCATTGTGGCTGGAGATGTGGTTGATAAATCTCTGGGTTTAGTGCTTGATGTCCCATCGAGGAGGTGTGGAGTGGTCGCGACTATTGAAGTAGGACACCAGCTGTTGATTGTCTGCTAGTAAAACGGGACATTGAATGTTCAGAGCAGAAACCACCGCTGCGGCCAATGCTAAAGCCGCTGCTTCAGCCATTATAACTGAGAGGTGGCGTTATTTAGCGCTGCTTTGATGTAGATGGCAAAAGAAGGCCTTTGTTGAGAGTTTATGATGAATACTCCAAGACCTGCATATCTGGAAACCTGTTACAGCAAATCTGGCGCCGTTGATGCATCGGTGTAGCACCGTGTGCCTGACAGCAGCGCCGGCAGTCGTATGTCTACAGAGGTGGGCTTGGCAAAGCCGGAGTGGGGAGGTCTTGATTCCCAGTAGCATGGTTGCTGGAGGCAGCAATTGGCGGACGTACACCTGCATTCAATAGATTGTTATGTTGGTCGAATGACTCGTCATCTTGTTGTACCCGCGATTGCACCTGTTGTTCATGTCCGCCAATAGGGACTTGTTTAGATGCCATCCAAATTCTAAGTTTTTTCACTCTCTCTTCATCACATTAATTTTTAGCCGTTTGCATGTAGTATTAAATGTAGGTAAAAAAATAACTAATTACACAGTTTAGTTGGAAATCACGAGATGAATCTTTTGAGCCTAGTTGGTTCACGATTGGACAATATTTGCCAAATAAGACGAAAGTGGTACTATTCATCGGGTTCAAAAAATTTGCAAAGTGAACAAGTCCTAGATAGCGAAGTGGACGTGATGTCAGTCGCCACTGCATTATGTGATTGCCAGAGTCCAATTTTTGTTTTGAAAACGAAGGTCATTTCAGGCCTTCCATATGTGAGTGTGGTTAGAATGCCTCGGATTTGTTCATCGGTCGTGTTTTGGTTTATAAAATGCGGGAGAATCTCCTTTACTCCATCCTGTTCTACAGGTAGCATGGAAGTGCAAAATGGTGGATTTGCAGAAAACCAAACTGCTCTTGCAAAGGTGCAGTGGATGAATAAGTGAGAATCATTTTCAGCAATGTTGCAAGTTGAGCATAGCTTACTTATTTTGTTTGAGTACTTCCCTGCTCTTTGTCTAGTTGCCAGAGTCCTAATCAATCTCCAGCATAAAGTTTTGATGCATGGAGCAAGTTGCTTGTGTTTCCATGTTCTGGTTAAGATGTACATGGCTTGCGGGGTTATGCTTCTGGATCCATTTTGAGGAAGCTGAACCCGCAAGCTATTGTTAAGAAGTTTGAAAGCCTCTTTGTAGGTGTAGATACCTTTTTTGCCGGCCTCCACCTAACAATGTCAAGAAGATTGAGGGGACAATCTGAACCTCCGCAATTTCTTGACTCCGATTGGTCACTGAAGATGATTGGTCACTGAAGATGAGAAATGAGATCGGTACTCCAGGACTGAGAGGAGTGCATCTTGTTAGGAAGATCTCCACTAATTGGCCCAACGGTCAATTGGATTCTTGATCCGCGTCCTAATCGGGAGATGCTCAGCCGGTTCTAAGTGGTTGATGGGCCCCCGTCGCGTAGCACTATTAAAAGGATGGTGGGGGCTGGGACACAGGACATGAAGTTCACCGTAGCCGCCAGCGCCCTACCGTGATGTCCTAACCCCAATCCGATCTAGAAGGGAGAGCTGTAAGCAATGGAAAGCACCATCGCCTTCGCCGCCACCATCAGCACCACGCCCGCACTACAACTACCTACGACGACTTAGCAGGCGCGTCTCTGCTTCCCCACTACTCCGACACGACGCGGCCACCGTGATGGCGGCGCCATGGCAGTAACTACACTTTTTGGCGAGGTATATCACCAAGCCTATCTAAGTTAAGCATTTTACCCACTGATCAACGCCTAGAAATACTTTCAGTTCTATCAATGGTACCAGAGCCAGGTTTTCTATTATGTAGATCTAGATCAGGGTAGTAGTAGTTTAGAAGAAGATGAGAAAGATCTGATTCAGATCGAAGTAAAGGGTACTGAACCCTAACCCTAGAAGGGGAAGAACAACAGAAAAAAGAGTGTTCGATTCGGCCCAATCCAGATCGACTCAAACCCCAACACTAACCCACGTAGAACCAATCGGGGAAGATAAACAGTAACCCGAACCCTAACCCTAACCCTAACCCTAGATCGGACCAGTTCCGAGAAGCATAGAAAGAAGATCCAAGAAGAAGAAGGGGAAAGGGGAAGGGCTTGGGAGGCGGCTTACTTCGCCACTGCCACCACCACCGTCGCGCAGGAAGATCACCGCGCTGCCGCCTCGCCGAAACGCGTGAAGAAAGCCGAGCCGGCGGGCTTGGTATACGCGCTAGGGCACTGCCGCCAGGCCGCTTGATGGCGGCGCGCTCACCCGTTGGGGAGCGTGCGCCCCGCCGAGGGGGGCGGCGACGGTGCCACCATCCCTCCGTCCTCATGCTCTCACTCGGTGGCTGCGCTCTGTCGCTCGCGGGGCTGATAGAGAGAAAGGGGAGAGGAGAAGTGAGCTAGGGTTTGGGTGCCGCGTCGTGTTTTGTTCCGCCGAGATCATCACCCCGCCGTCGATCTTCATCCAATGGTGGCAAGCGACTAGGCCGAGATGGAGCCAGCGGGGGAGGCTTGAGCGTGGCGATTTTTGCAGCCTTGAGCCTGAGTTGCTGACAGGGAGGCGCTGAGAAGATGCTGTGAGCATAGTTGGGCCGAGCTGGTTTGCTAGTTGGGCTGATGTATGGTATTGAGTTTGAGTCCATTTTTTCTTTTTCTTTTTTTTTTCTAGGAAAAAAACATTTACAGGCTCAAAGAAAATTAGCAAAGAGAATTTTCCTGTGGGTAAAATTCATCAATTATGTTTGAGTTTCCGCTGCAAAGTTTAATGCTGATTATCTTCTAATTAAATTCAAACCAACGGGAGAATTTAATTTGAAGAGTAGTTACTTTTTGTAAATTCTGATTATGTTTATCCTCTAATTAAATTAGAACCAACGGGAAATTTAAATTAGAGAAGTAATCCGATTTGTTTATGTTAAATTATGGTATTGTTATTTTCTGACCAACGTTGATGATAACAATATTATAATGAGTTTAAAGTTGAGGTTTAAATCTCTGATAAATTTTACACCAACATGGTCAATTTTTCAGAGAGTAGATAAAGACCAAGAAATACTCATAAACTAATAGAATGCATTTTATTATCAAGTTTTCGCTGTAATGATGTTGATTATCTTCCAATTAAATTTGAACCAACGGGAGAATTTAATTTTTAAGAGTAGTTATATGGATTTCAAGTTAATTTATGAGCTTTATGCATTAATTCTATTTTCTACCCAACAGTGATGTAGAAGCATATTGTATGTTTTAATTTTTTTAACCGAAGAGCAACACTCGGCTGAATGTCAACAGGCTGCAATGCTGGGATATGTGAAAGAAAAAGGCTTGAGTCAAGCCAGTTTAGGACTGTTTTTTGTTAGTTTATCAATTTTCTGATTAAGTTAGAACCAACGGGAAGATTTAATTGGAAAATAAAATATAAGTGAATGTTTTATGATAAGAGTTGCAATAAGCAACGTGCATGTCTAATTTGACCAACGTTGGATTAAGCATGTGTGTTTGTATATAGATTTATCCCACATAGGGAGAAGTTTTGGCATAGTACTTATGCTAGTTAATCCTACATGGTGGGAGAAGTTTTGTGATGATTCACATGTTTTGAATCCCGCATAGGGAGAGAAGTTTGGGTAGCTCTTATGCTGTCCTAGTATTGACCGTGGCACAATAGAAATGCATCGTCATGGTCAATACTAACCAAAGGATAAGAAAAGATGCAAGCATGACTTACAAAAGTACTGCCAATGAAAGACCTCGTTGAGTTCTTGAAGTGAAATAAGGAAAGTGTACTCCTAAACGGATCAAGAAGTAACTTTGTTTACATGACATAATCATGTGAATGAAGTAAGTTATAAGTGTCTCCTCGTTCACATGTTTTCTGAATAGTTCTTGAAATTATGGCAATAAAGTTTATGCCATATTTTGAGGGAGAGAATATTAAGATCAATTAAGAAAAATATTCTTCATTAAGAGTGAGATAAAGATAAATTAAGAAAGATACTCTCCATTAAGAGTGAGATAAAGATCAATTAAGATGAAACCGTTGGAGGAGTACAACAGTCACAACAATGATACCCCTAAGAAGAGAAATAGCTAAATTCTTGAACCTTTTAAAGTTCCGACAGGAAGATAGCGTAGTCAGCCTCAAAGATGTTAAGGTGGTGCTTAAAGCACCATATGAGGTTTTAACGGATTAAACCCAAAATAAGACATTTGAAGATACACTATCTTTAGAAAATATGGGAAGATCTGGGGGATCATGGTATGTA